ATCTTATAAATTTTAGATTTTTAATTTTAGATTTATTAACAATCAATGGTAACGTAAGTATATATTTATTTATATAGATTTTATTTTTTATTTTAGATTATTGATAATAATCAATAACAAAGTAAGTATTAATTTATTTACCCAGGTCGAAAGTGAGCCATCGGATTCTATCGGATCTGTCTCAATCCGATGAATTCTGATCACCGAATCCGATAGAATTTTGATTGTCGGAATCCGATCGGATCTCAATTGATTCCCATATTTTCCAACGCATTCCGATTACCGAATTTCGATGAAATCCGAAGGATGGATCCGATAGGATTCATTTGTCGGAATCCAGTCGGTTCTATCAAGTTCCGAGAAGTTAGTCGTCGGATTGCAGTGGAACATACGTTCTGTATATAAATTTATTTCCAATTGAATGCTTTTAAGATTCGAAGGAAAAAAATGAGCTCAGACATGCTAATGAATGAGTAGGATGAAGGAACATTATTACAAAATGATTATCAGACTACTATTTTCCAAATAAAACTGGATGATTTCTCATCCTTAATATTTATCTCACTACACTCTAAAAAAAATCCGTTCCCTAGAACACTCCAAACCGTTCGGGAGCTCATTCGGGAACATTCAGAGGTTTCCGAAAGGTTTTTCGGCCTCCTGGAGCATTTAAGAAAACGCTTTCTTAGTTTCCGAATACTCAGAAATCAGTCGGTTTTCGAAAATACCGATTTGAATGCCCTAAAAGTATTTTCAGATACCCTTATGATATATTCAAAATTATAATTAGTATTTTCGGAAACCAAAAAGGTATCTTAGGAAACCTGAATTGGTTGCCGAATTGTTGTCAATCCTGCGAACTTCTCCAGAGTTTCAATAAGTACCAAAACAATTACCACAAAAGTTGGAAAATAATATTTGATGAAAAATTTGGAGATCCGGGAATCCGAATCTCTAAGTAATATGCCGTAAAGCATCAAACTCAAAATTTTGAAAAACTGATTACAGCTTCGAGTTTCTCGACCCTGAAAACCTTTGACCAAACTTGATAGAAAATATTTATGAAAAAAACCTTCTTTAAAGAAAATAAAAAGTACACGATTTTCGAAAACCAATTACAGATTCGAGTTCCTCGACCCTGAAAGCCGTTGATCAAACTTTATACAAAATCATTGTTTTCGTAAAATAGGTTTTCTCTAACGAAAAAAAATCAAACTCAAAATTTTGAGAAACCATTTATAGGACTTGTCAAAAAAAAGTTACTTTAAATGCCTGCAATTGAAAATAATTATTAAGCATTTTATAGGAAAAGTACTTTTAAGGCCCCCACCCCCCTCAGAAACGATTTCTGACCTAAAACGGACCATTTGAGCTGAAACTTTCAGGAACAAGTGATCTTGGTGAGATACGCTTGTGATAAAAATTTCAGCGCGATACATCCTAGTAGATCGAACTTACGGCCTGTTTTTGTACCTCCCAAGAGAATAGGAATCACTCAGTCACAGTAAAGGCTAGAGAGCTCGGGGTGGCGTCAAATTAAAGCTAGTCTCTGTGCGCAACTTTTCGTCAGATAGCGTCTTGAAACTCCTTTCCATTCATTTTTTTATGACCATTTTACTGGGCAGGTCTGCAAAATAAGCAAAAAAAACGTCACTCGAACGACACTAAATTCCACTTTTCTCAGTCCTGGAGAAATGTATCAAAAATTTGTTTGATAAAAAGTTAGCCATGATTCAGAGCTTTAAAATAAAAAAAACATATTGAATAATACCCAAAGCCGAGATGGAGTGATTCCAATTTTTCTGCTGAAAAACCATATTCTGAGAAAAACGTTAAAGAAGTTTTAGAAACGGATTTTTTTCACTAAAATCCAGCACAATCCTTAAAATGACACATTTTAATATATTTCACTTGAGTTTTTTAAAGCACATAACAGATGCAGTAACCCAGGTGATTCGATCCGACTGTCGGATTACGTCGGATTATATCGGAAAAATTACCGGATTTTAACGGATCCGACGGGAACTCGTCGGAAGTTGTCGGCGTCCTAGCCACAGGATTCCGACAGGAGGTTCCGGATGTCGGAATAATCAGGATCCTGCGAAATCCCTGAAACTCCGACACTTTCCGACATCCAGAACCACTTGTCGGAATCCTGTGGTTAGGATTCCGACAAATTCCGGCGAATTTCTATCGGATTCGACAGGGTGAATTCGACCTGGGAAGTTAGCACCATCTATCATGCTTGGGGTCTAATATAAGACATTCTCTTCAATGATATTGCAAGCGAGCGACAATGCAGTTTTTCCAAAATTAAGAAGTTTTAAAAAAGCTCGAAAATTTCTCCAAAAATATTATAGTAAGGTCGAAGATTGCTTAGGTAAGTCTCGGAAAATCTGGTCGTTTCCCGAAAACTCACATATATTTTGAAAGAGAAAACTTCATCGCATCTTCCTATGATAAAAACTCAACTTGGATATTTCTCCGAAAATTTGGGTTTTCTAAGAGGGGGGTCTTAAGTGGTAATTGCGCAATCTCAATTTGGATCAATTTATAAGGGAGTTTCAAACATACATATTTGCATACAACTTTGGTCTAGCGGTTTATATGTCCGGTTTCGAATTCGAAGACGGGCAAAAAAATCAGGGTTCGAATCCACCCTTCGGCAAAACAATTAGTAAGGCTCTAAATTGAAAAATAATATGGCAGCGTAAGTAATAAAAGGTAATATGAAAAAGTTAGTAATAAAATTTACTATGGGAAAGTAAATGTTAAAAAGTACTATGACAGTGTAAGTAACAAAAAGTAATTGACTACATAATTAATAAAAAAAACACTTTTTTCCTATAAATATACTTATTTTCATCGGAACTTGTCGGATCTAACGAGATCCGTTCCCTGTCAAATCTTAGTCGGATTCCGGATCACGGGATTCCGGATTCAATCCGACCGGAATGAGTCGGAATCCGACCATTTCCGGCATAATCCGACATTGGATCTGGTCGGATTCGACAAGATCCAGTGGTCGGATTTCTTGATCTGGGTATGTAGATTTTGTTTTTTCTATTTTAGATTATAATATTACTAGTTAAAAATAAAGTATTAATTTGTTTTTTTAGGTTTTATTTTATTTCCGATGATTATTATTAATAAAAAACAATACAATAAGTGTTAATTTATCTATATAGTTTTTATTATTTTATTATTTTCGATTATCATTAGCAATCAATGATAAGGTAAGTATTAATTCATGTATACAGATGTTGCTGTTTTAGCTTTAGATTATTTACAATTCTCAACCGAATGGGATGTCGTCCATGACTCTGGCCAACTAGTGAAATTCTATTGTATCATACTGTTTCTATCATGTACTAAGTGTTTGGTACATGATAGAAACAGTATGATACAATAGAATTTCACTAGCTGATCAGAGACATGAGCGGCATATACATATATCATTAATTAAAACTAAATAGCTGATGAATGAATCCTTCGACCTGAAGGTAATTTTGGTTTATACATAGGAATATTAGCTGGATCCTATCGATTCCAACGTTTTTCGACAGTCGGATCCGACATCCGACAATTTTCCGACCGGGTTCCTATCGGAAGTTGTCGAATTTTTACGAAATTCCTATCGGATTCGACGGGATTCAACTGTCGAATTTCTCGCCCTGGGCATGTATACCTCATTCCATCAAGCATAGTGTGATAGTAAAAAGCTTAAAAGGACTTCTGCCTATGGCTCTTTCTTCAAAAGTTACACCCATTTTATTGAACTTTTGACCCATTCCTAAGTATGTACCAAAAAATCAAATAACGAAATTCCAACGTGGAATTTTAGCCATAGATAGATCTAATGACCTGTAGAGTATCCTGAAAGTTTCAGCCAAGAGTAGTGTTCCTTCCGCGAGATATGGTTTTCTTTAAAAAATAGTCGCTTGCCCATGACAGGTCAGAGAAATCGAGTTCACTTGAAAATTCACCGTTTCCAGAAAAGAACATTCAGTTTAGTGGAAACTTTCAGGATATTCTACACTGAAAACAAAAAGGGTTTCGTAGTTTTGTAACGAATTCGAAACCCTTTTTTGGTTTCGTATAATACTACGAAACCATCTATTTTTGATAATGGTTTCGTAGTGCTATACGAAACTCCTACAAAGACGTAAAAAGCATCCAGGAAACCGTTTTGAGGGTTTCGTAGTACTATACGGAACCCAAAGAGGGTTTCGAATTCGTTACAAACTGCGAAACCTAAAAAGGGTTTCGTGCGCATCACGAACCCTTTTTTGGTTTCGTATAAAGCCTTTTTTGTTTTCAGAGTACAGGTCATTAGATTTATATATGGATAAAATTCTACGTTGGAATTTCGTTATTTGATTGTTTGGTAAATAGTTAGGAATGGGTCAAAAATTCGATAAAATGGGTATAACTTTGAAAGGAAGAGTCATAGGCAGAAACCTTTTTAGGCTTTTTATTGTCTCAATATGTTTGATCGAGCGAAGTATCAACGAGTCGAAACGCAAAAGGACGTCTTGGATGGTTTCCACGTGCATTCAGAAGTCTTGACGAAAAAAGAGCGCATATTTTTACGCTTCTTTTGTTTAAAATTTTAATGCGTTGTTTTTTTTTGTTTATTTGACTGCGTAGTAGTGTTCTGCCTCTTTATGAACTACAACACACTTACGTGTGAGACGGAAGTATCCTGTACAGTTTGTGTGAAAGATGATAGAGTTCAAGGCACATCTTTTTAGTCTATCATTCACATCCATTGTGCTACATGTTAATTAGCGTGTTTTAGCAACAACTAGGATCAACAGTGAATAGACGCTGACAAATAAAAAGATATGCCGGTGAACTCTTCTTCCTCCTCCGCTCCCCATTAATAGTGTAAGTGATTCTATAGTATTTCTCGTGTTAAATTCACCGCAACTGTAACAATCTTTTTTGTAATATGCTGTATTCTATTGTTTTTCTTATTAATTTTTATAGATAAAATAATGCCGACTTTCTACCGATTTATTAATCAGTCTGAAAGAAAACGTTTATGGTCAATTGTATTGTTTGAAATTGCACTCGTCACACTTACTTGGTATTATATTGAAAAAATACAATTAAACAACGAATGTTATAAAACATTGAAACAAGATTATCATTTTATTTCTTTGTACATTGATGTACCACATCATTGTACATGGTGGAGCCTTCTTTGGTTTTGGATAAATCGTTATACAATTTACGCAGCTTACATTGTTTTTATATATATTTTGCTTGATTATTACATATCATCATGTTATATGTTTGGACATACATATATTTGGACAGGTCTGGTATACAATATTGTTCAAGCTAAACAAGAAGATTCTTTTTTTTATCGTGATGCACCAATTCTCTTCCACACATTAATAATCGTCCTATATCTTGAAAATCAACCTTTTCTAGATGCAGACATGCAGAAGCGATGGATCGAGATCAAGATGGAGAATGAAGAACGATCATTTGCACAAGAAGAAGCGGAATCTCAATGCTGGGCCGAGGCTATTCATAAAATTAGACAATATGATGATGCTGACGAAATTAAACAGATCATTCGACAAGCAGATGATAAAGAAGAAAAGATTCGAGCGAGATATCCATTATTGGCTTATCCAGTATTGCCTCCACTGGAACAGAAGAATAATATCTTGTTAAGTATTTTTACTCGTATAACAACATTTTTATTATGTATATTGGCTGTTTGGAATTATGTGTTACTATTTCGTCGAGCATTTGTTATTACATTTAGTCAACGAAATACTACACATACGCTGTAAAAATTATTTCCTTATGTCGTTAAATATTGTTACATAATTTGTTTGGTCTAATCAGTTTTTTTATGTCAACTTGTTGTCTATTCTTATACATATGTTTTCATATATAAATATTCATTGTATAATATAAAATTCTTTTGACGAAGAAAATAGTATTCATTCTTGGAAGACTCTGAAGATCCTAACTGTCTTGCTTTTTCGCAGCTAAGTTTATTGTGCATAGTTTCTGGTATCTACTGTAATCTTGATTATGAGATTTCATGAAATCAAAGCAAAATAATACATGTCAAATTTATTCTATTATCCAGATCAATGCAGTAATATTAAAGATAAGTGAAAGATTGCCGACAATAAGGAACAAAGAGTTCAAACACTGTTTGTGATACAATATTTCTTCAATTGCAATTGAAATTTCAGAGTTTTAAGGTTGAGTGATCCTAGTGAGAAACATCTTTGATAAGTACTTCCAGCTCGTTTTAATAATAAGGATGGGTGTGGGTGTGGGGTGTGGGTGGGTGTGGGTGTGGGTGTGGGTGTGTGGGTGTGGATGGGGTGTGGATGTGGGTGTGGGTGTGTGGGTGTGGGTGGATGTGGGTGTGGGTGTGGGTGTGGGCGTGGGTGTGGGCGTGGGTGTGGGCGTGGGTGTGGGCGTGGGTGTGGATGAAGTTTAAAATAAGACCCAAACCTACACCCACATCCACCCACACCCACATCCACATCCACACCCACACCCACACCCACCCACCCACACCCACATCCACATCCACACCCGCACACCCACACCCACATCCACACCCACCCACACTCTCATCGAGTGAAGAAGAATCTACAGTTCAATTTTTTCAAAAATCTGCTAATTTAATTATATAACAGAAGAAATGGAAACTCATGACGATGAAAATTAATTGTAAAATCTTCTCAATCATCTTCAACAACTTTTTTCCTTTCTTTATTCAGCTTCTCTCGTATTAAACATATCAAACAAGTGTACTCTTATATAACAAAAGATACTTCTTTTTCTAAGATTCACCCTAATTTTTCATTTAACGCCAGGGGTGTCCCGAGGTTGCCAAGATTGGGGGGGGGGGGGGGGGGGG